CTGAAACACCATTACCGACAAAAATAACACTCAAAGTTATTTAAGGTAAAGTTTTTTTAATCTCATATGTAAGTTACAATTCTCTACTTTACTTTACTTTTAAGCTCCAAAAACTTACCCTTTACTTGGATACGTAACTAACACCTCTTACAACAGTTCTAATAAAAAAAATCTCTCTGAAATGTCTAACCTACGTGAAATTTTGGTAGTTACTGGCCAATGAGAATGTATTAGCCACTAAATGATGACTAATCCCTAGTTTGCTGCTTATGCGATATTTCCAAGCCGAAGAGACGTTAACAGCGCTTTGTAAGGTCCTGTAAAGTAAAGCACGATAATTTTTCCACAGCACTGCCTTTAATTATTTTTGTTCAAGCTTTTTGTGGTACATTGGCTGCAACAAAAAAACTAGTTAATCATTTCGTGCATTTTATTTCAAGACGCATACCGTACTTCTCTATTTGATATCCCATGAGGCCCAGTCCACCTTTTTTCCTATCCCACAATCCTTTGAGACTTAGATTCAGAAGAATTCAGTGATGTAATTGTACGTATGCGTAGTTTTCATCTTACCTGGGCATTCATGGGTGCTCTTGGAAAGAAAATGAGATGTAGTGGTTTTGAAGAAGTCCTCATCGAATCAGGGATCTGTGCAAGTGGATTGATAGAGCACGTTTTGACAGGCAAACATTATAACCACGCCCTTCGTGTGCACAAGGTTGTCTACGAAGCTTTGGAACGAATTCTTCTTCAGCTCTAAGAGTCGATGCATGGTTGTCTTTTTGATAAGCAAGGGGTTACAACATTAGACCACATAGCGAAGAACCCGTCCAAAGATAACCTTTTGGAATGTTTAGCAAGTGAAAACTGTAACACGTTCCTAGACCGTCATGATAAATTGAAATAAACTGTTCGGCAGGGCGCGCTTGGCAAGACAGCTCAGTTTTGGTTGAGCTACTTCATGAGGACTGTACAGTACCGCAAATGATCCCCAACCGCAAATGATCCCGAGACCGCAAATGATCCCCAAAATGGACCGCAAATGATCCTCGACCGCAAGTGATCCCCAAAGTCGACCGCAAATGATCCCGAAAGAAAAATAGGAATGGCTTAGACTCGAGTTAGCGGAGCGTCGTGACGATTTTATTATTAATACAAAAAGTAAGATTAAACGCTAAATTTCAGTTCTTAAATAAATACGTATATACATGAAAAAAAAACTAAATGAAAAAAATCATTCAAGTGTGTCGGTAGGCAACACACGACGTTTACCTCATGCCAAAATGCTGCTTGTTCCAATGAATTTTTTTCTCTGGCGGGTAGATTATACCTGAAGGAAAACGTTTTGACTGAGCAAATGTGATTTTTGCCGCTTATTTCATGCTGAGAGGTTGTGGTCGGTATGATTTGCTGGATTTGTCCTTTAATGCAAGAGCATTTCTTTGACCTCTTTTAAAATGCAATGCTTTTCATTGCGGCTAAATAAGGGTTTTAGGTTGTTTAATTTTCTTTAAAGTGCCTCATGGATCCGAACAATTATAAGCGACTTTCTTTTAGTCCGTGATTGTGACGGTTCCTACGATTTTTGTCACGCGATAACTACCGCTTGCCTTGCTTTTGCGTTTCTCATTACCAGGTTTAGATTCCTGGTAATTAACTGTCTCCAGCAACGGCAAAAAAATGGATATACATATAAGCGTCAATATAACTATTCGCAACATGTTCATGAGCTCTAGGCAAGTTGCTCTTTCAAAATAAACCGAAAACTGTGGACATTGATAAGTTCGGTGGCATTTTGACGTGCCTTTTATTTCAAATCATGTCTTGTTTTTTAACGGGCTCCAGGCCTGGGGCACTCATAAGTTACGAACCAATGCCTTGATGTTTATCACGTAAAATTAACACTTCAGAGAAAAATCGAAACTAAATATTCTGAAAATTAATTCGACGCCTCTAAAAAGATCAGTCAAGTCAATAAAGCTCTTGTTATGTAGAGGGTGCCCGGCTTTGTATTCCTCAGTAGACAAGTTGAGCTTGGGCGTTAAAATAATAGAGTTTTTTCTGCGTAACGTCCTACCTGTCTTAAATTTTCAGCGACGAAACAGTTCTTGAAAGAAAATTGAAGCAATTGACAAAGGAAGAAGTATACGGTTGATACCATATCCTTTTCAAATTTATTCTACTTTTTTTTCGCCTTGTATAAATTGACCTGAGGTGTAGCGTCCTCCTTCCCTTTTTCTTTAGAAGGCGCGAGGAAAAGGTTCCTTTTTTTATAATCAGTCCCATAAAATCCATTCCATTCCTCAAGTTTTCACGGGATCATTTGCGGTCAACTTTGGGGATCACTTGCGGTCGAGGATCATTTGCGGTCCATTTTGGGGATCATTTGCGGTCTCGGGATCATTTGCGGTTGGGGATCATTTGCGGTACTGTACAGGACCCGCATACGACTTCATTTTGCACACCACATGACGCCGGCGTTGTTAAGGACGCTAGGTCTGAATGACAAGCAATAAACCTCCTACTGCGACAAGCAATTATTTTCTTCACCGTTTGATCCAACCATCAGTGGTCAGTTATTCGATAAAGCGTTACATTTTTTAACAAGATTAAGGCGGCATCTGGCGATAGAGTAATTAGATAAGAGATTACAATTCAACATATGCCTGAGATTTGCGTTCTCAGCTCACGAGTTACCCAGAATAATCGCGCGTGGCCTACGACTCAAGCGTTGTCTTTCTGGTCTTTGCCAGTATTAAAATGTAGCGTAGTTCCATATTATATTTTATGTATTGAAGGTGGCGGAACTCAAATAGAATCGGACGAATGTTGCTAGATAAAAGCGTTGGTTCAAAATTTTGATTATGTATAACCCCCAGTCCGTGAACGCACAGCATACTACTCATCGTAAAGGAAAGATAGATTCCAAAGCAAATTGCAATCATTGATTCAACCAATTTTTTGGCCTGAACTTGCTAAGCTGCAGTTTCCGCACTGGGAATCTGTAACGAGACGATGGCGAATATGTGGCGCAAACCGGTTGAAATATAGGATTTACGGCCCTTCGGGTTGTTCTTTTTCGCAGAGGTACAGTCAAACCTGTACATATGTAATGTCCCAGTATATGGCGGTCACCCTGCAATATTACGGTCACCAAACAAATTCTGGGAAGTGGTGCCTTATATTTACTGTAAAGTTGCCCTGTACATGACAGTCACCTGTATGTAACGGAAGCTGTCATCCTTTAGGCTTACAGATTCCCTTTTTTACCTGTATAAAACGGTCACCAATTCGGATTAGGATCAAACTATGTAATGTTTAGTAAACGGGCAGGAGTGTGTTATCGGGATTTGTCTGCAAAGACATTCCTGGAAAAGTGTCTCAATAAAGTTGATAGCAATAACGCTTATGTGAGTGCTGGAAATTAACATTCGAAAAAAATATTAGGTATGAAATTAGACATGCAAGGAAATCAAATCTCACACGCGTTTAGGAATTTTCCAGTCTATGAACAACACTAATCGAAGAGGACATGGCGTCTTGTTCCAGAGCTTTCCGGAAGCCTAACAATGACGAGGAAGAGAGGAAGTCGATCGAAAGTCAACAAGTGCAGTGAAAAAGTAGTCTTTCAACAAATGTTTCTACCATGGACGAATGGTAGGTAAACAAAAATCCAGTTCTCGAGCCTTGCTTATTCACAACTGGCAAGTCTTGAGTGGAACGCTTGGACACTGCTGTAGCCAATATTACCGCTGAGTCACTAAACTTTTGGCTGATTAAATTGGTAAAAGAACAAAGTTTAATTTGTGCAATAGTAAATTTACTGCGTATGTTATTTTGAAAGAACATGAAATATTCACCCACCATTTGTTGTGTCAGTTGCTGTGCTGCTAATAAGGGGAGGTTTTATTAATATAAAGTCACTGCACGTGAAGTATTATCGACCATTTGATAGGTCAATGGGCTTATGAATTATTAATGCGTAGTCACTAAAACATGGAACGACCTAAAACCACCTAAAACCACCTACAACCATCTACAACCACCTCAAAAAAATCTACAACCACTCGCAAACAATCTAAAACCATCTAAACCAAGGTATAAATGTCTCAAATAAGGCGAGACGACAACATGTCACGTACATGAAATACGACAATCGAACAAAACATCCACTTCCCCCCAAAATCTTACTCTCCCTGGTCCCTTGTATCATCAACCATTGGCTTAAGTCACGAAATGAAATGGGAGATCATGCTAAGTATATTAAAAGACTTAAAGAACTTTACAAAATGAACTATCAAGTCACAGAAAATAATAAAATAAAATAACAAACTCGTAGTCGAAAGACTGACTTGATTTGGCTTTTTCTACCCTGGGTACCAGTGAGACGTTTTGGTTGTGGATGTTTTGTTCGATTCTCGTATTTCATGTACGTGACATGTTGTCGTCTCGCCTTATTTGAGACATTTATACCTTGTTTTAGATGGTTTTAGATTGCTTGCGAGTGGTTGTAGATTTTTTTGAGGTGGCTGTAGATGGTTGTAGGTGGTTGTTGAATTTTTTGAGGTGGTTGTAGGTGGGTTTAGGTGGTTTTAGGTCGTTCCATGTTTTAGTAACAACGAATTTTTGAATATAATATTAACGAATCGTCCCAAGTTTTATTCATCAGATCATTAAATTGTAGCTGCCTGGGTATGGGTCTCACTTAAATACAAATATTATACTTAATACAGCTACAAACCACAAATACGTCTCATCGCCTGCGTACAATGAATAACGTGTACCAGAACAAACCACTGGACAGTGGCACAGGCACAAAAAACGATAACAGAGTTCTTTGTCAAAAATCCATATTGTATTTTTTTCTATCCAAATTTGCAGATGATTTTTTTATTTATATTTTATGTTGACTACTTTTCTCACAAAAATGACCTCTGTTTCCGCAGGTCCCGTGTTTTTTTTTATCATCACTTACATAGCAACATGCTAATTTTAAACATTTATAAGGAAGTAACTTGCTCGGTTTCATTATTCCCTAAGGATTCAAATGGGCCTATTATTGTTGTCATTGAAATAACAGAGATTCCCGGATCTAGATGATTCGTCTGATAAAAGCATTTAGTACAGCTGCAACATGTTATGTGAAGGAAATTGCAAAAGTTTTCTCTAAATTCCGGGATCCGCAAATGGTAAATAACAATGTTGATAAGTGAATTGCTAAAATGAAAGAGTTTGATAATGTAGACTGATAACACAGGTATTCTTTGGCATGGGACGCATAGGTGGACAGCAAGCACCAATATTTCAAATGGAAACCACGTGATAATAAAGGCCGCTGTAACCAATAACATTGTCTTGGCAAGTTTATCATCGTTTGTATTTCTATGTGGATTTGGTAATCGAGCTTTTAGAGTTTTCCAAATAAAGCCGTAACAGAAAATTGTGATGAGCAGAGGAGTAGTCAGAGAGACCATGACAATAGCAACAAAATGTAGACGAGCAATGATAGAATAATTCAAAAGAAGTCTCGAAGATGAAACCAATGCAGCTAGGAACCATGGGGTAGCAATCGCTAAAAGGTAAGCCCGAGAGCTGAGAAAGCGATGACGGAGTGGCTTCCCAATAGCATGCATCCTCTCCAACGATATAACAGCAATTATGAAAACAGATGCCAGGCCCACTAGCATGTCAGCACAGTCAAAAACAAGAAGTAGTAAACGTGTCATATAACTGTTGTGAAATGTCACGAAGATGGGAAAAGGATTACCAAACCAATAAATCCAAACCAACCATTAAAATCCCAACAATTATGATACCCGTTACAAATTCCTAATTACAATAAAGCTTTCGTTTTCCCTGGAAAATTTGGCTAAAAGCGTTTGAAAATTTTTAATTTGGTGATGTTTAGTTGTTGTTACGTTTCCAACAATTAACCAACCTTTTGGAAGATACGACCCACGCGATTTTCTGGACGAATGGCTGGTCAACCTCTTTCAGTTACTTGTCGATCCTGTAGAGCCAATCCACCGGTCGTGAACCCGCTGGTTGTGAATCCGCCGGTTGAGAATCACCGGATGGCAACCAGAATGTTAATGTCCTTTTTGTACTTCACCAGGAAATACTTTTTTTTTTTTTGGCCCGATCGCGGCCTGTTATCTGGACGATTGTCGGGCTATTCCGCGTGGCTAGTTAACGAACTAATATTTCGCTCTTCTTTCGGCCTTTGTGGTCGTTGGATGGTTACAAAACCGTACGAATTTGTTCGGCGGTGGCTGTTGACGGATTAGTCGGCGTCTGGCTCTTGCTGAATCTCGCTTGTTTGTATTTTCTTCGGCCTTTTGGTCGTGGGATGGTTACAAACCGTACAGGTTTGTTCTGGTTGGTTGACGGACCAGCGTTGGGCGTTTACTTTCGCTGTGGATGTTGTACAAACGTGGCCGTTTTGTTCGGCGGTGACATCTCTTCTGTTGTATTTCCTTCATTTTTGCGGTCGTGGGATGGTTACAATGGTGACCATTTGTGTTTTGTCTTTTCCTTCGGCTGATGGGCCTTTGGATGTTTGTTATGAGTTATGATAATGGGTCATCGTTTTTTGCTAGGTCGTCTTACTTGTATTTTCTCCTTTGAAAGGATGTTTATACATGGTAACGCGAGAAGTTACGTGATGTTTTTTGTTTTTCACGAGGCCTGTAATGAGGTTTTTTATGCATAACTTTCTCTTTGTTCCTTTGCAGAGATTGCGTGAGGAGGTGAGACAGTTAAAGCAGTCAGTGGAGGCAGTAAACCAACGCGTCGCCTGAGAAGCTCGTGGAACAGATATTGGCTTATGCTTCCCGCCCGTTGACAGAGTTTAACAAGTATGAGGTGCTTGAGATGTTGGAGACTCTGCATAACAAGGCCGCTGACCGTAATCATGACAGGAAGAACTACTATCGGCTCGTTCATCAGTCGGCGAGGGAAAAGGTGGAGTTGTCGAAGGACCACTTCAAGGACCTTGTTATGCGCCTATTAGGAGACAAGGACCACGAGAGGGTCCTGGATATCGTTTCTAAAGTAGAAAAGAAGTCAAATCGCAAGAAGCCTCAAGCGAACGACAACAGGGGTGCTGGTGTGGCACGTCCGTCTCGTCTATGTTATTTTTGTCATAGGCGAGGTCATATCAAAGCTGATTGTCCTGATTTGAAGTCCAAGCAGAGGAAAACGGATCCCAAATCAGACAAGTAGCTTGTGTTTAGATCTCGTTAGTTCGCACCGGTGTTATAGGTTGAGGCCGCCTGGACAAGGCTGTGTGTTGTAATATTGCTTAATTCTTTGCGATAATAAACAAACTTTTGTGTGCATTGAATCAATCTAGTGCATATTTTACTCTGTCTATTTTGTCAACATAGTTATAACGACTTTGAAAAAGGGGTATCCTTGAGACAAGGGCCCTCCAACCTCGCTGGTCTTAGCTGTTATTTCTCTGCTGACTTTGACGGGGATGATTTTAATATGGTCTTAGATTTTTCCGCAATTCAATTTAAAGGTGTCTTCACTACCCCCTTTTTTCCTAGGGAAACATGTGGTGTTGGGAAAAATCTGACTCCTTTGATCTTCGACTTCAGGAGTTACAAGGCAAAGAAATTGAGCTTCCAATGTCCTGGGTCGATTGTTTCGGTAACCCCGTCGAGGTCAGTGGAGAAGTGACAGCCTGTGACCGTGTTAGATTACAGAGAATACAGAGGGGAGAGTTAATTGGTGATATTTCGGAGTTATTGTTCCGTGACCCACATTGTTTTCGAGCTGCAGAATTGCATAACCATTTCGAGTATTGGCAGTACTGTTCAATGCTAGAGTTGATGCTTTTGTTGACAATAAGGCCGTTGTCGAGGCTTGGAACAACCAGGGTGGTAGAAGCTTGGAGCTTAATATGGCATTGAAACGGCTTTTCTTCACAACGTCGAAGCTTAGCTTATCTCTGCACATGTCTTACATTCCGACTGGTCAGAATCCTGCTGATGCTCCATCAAGGCGCCTGTCCCACTGAGATAGTAAATTGTCGGATGGCTTGTGGCAGATTGTTCAGAAGGAGTTTGGTGGTAGGGAAGGCCATACTTGCTACCTTATGGCCTTGGATTCGAATAGTATGACGGATGCGCACGGGTATTCTCTCCCTCATTTTACGCCGATTCCCTCTCCCGGATCGTCTGGTGTAAATCTCTTCACACAGGACCTTGCTTCCCTCAGAGCGCTTATGGCCCAGACCGTATGTTTTTTTCCTCCCATGGCTTTAACGGGACCTGTCTTAAAATTTCTACAGAGTTTTAAACAGTCGTGCACAGTAATGGTGCTGGACGTGTTTCCCAAGAAGTACTGATGGCCTCTCCTTATGAATAAAGCTGTAAAGAGTAGATGTCTGGCTGTTCGTGGCGATGGCAACGCTCTCTTGGTCCCGTCAAAAGGGGTGGCTGCCTCACAAGGGCATTCCTGGAGATCTCTGGGTTTTGCAGTGTGTTTTAGGTGTGTCTTGGCATACATTTTGATCTGTTGTGCTACTGGTTTGTGGTGTATGATAGGTTCTTCTTTTCTGGTTTGTAGGAGCTTCCAGTCATGGCAAAGCTGTTTGTCAGTCGGTTAAATGCCCAGCCTGTGGACACGCTAATGATTTTGACTTCCGTTTTTGTCAACGTTGTGGCTACAAGCGAAGGTTATGACAACGCTTGTCAAGGAACACTCTGATGTTATCGTTGACCTTGATGGGATTGAGGTGCGGTTGCAGCAGTTACTTCACTACGATCAGGCAACCAGTTATAAAAAGCAGAAGGATTCTCTTCAGAGGGAACTTGAGGCTTTTCTTGGTGCTCTGCCGGGTTTTGTTACTCTCGCGACAGTGACGCCTAAGGACTTGTGTCGCTTCCTGATCTTTAAAGACAAGCGTAAATCCGCGATTGCCAAATTAATCAAGAGAATGTGAGGTCGCTTTCGAAGCTTTCGTTTGGAAAATATGAAAATGGTGAAGGCGTTTCCAACAATTATGAGAAATGCGACTATCCCAAAACATATACTCCAGAGGATGTTCCAAGAATCAAACTCCATTATTTTTAATCGTCACCAGTGTGTTTATTGGATTGTCTGACTGGAAATAGAGAAGAAAAATCAACTATTTAGCCTGATTACAATGTAAATATAACTCTGCAGCCGTTTTCCTGACAATTGGTTCTTTTTTTACCGACAATACTACCACATACAATGGTTCCTTTTTGTACTTCACCAGGAAATACTTTAATCTGACAAGTAAGAAAACAATATTTTCTCTTATAGAATAAGTAATCTGGCGTTTTAAAGAAACAGGTCTGTCACTTTCGATGTAAAATTCTATCTCTTCTGGAATAATATCAGGGCCCAGGGAGCATTTTTTTAAGTGCGGGAGTCGATGACCACCTATGTAAAAATGGGGGGGTGGGGAGGGTAGACTCTAAATTTACCGAAATTTTGTTTCCGATTGCAGTCACCAGTTATGATCAGCATATCTATTTGCTACGTCGGCAAGGCAAATTTCTCTGTTCTCTCTTTGTGGCTCATAAGTATTGTTGGAGCACTGAACCCAGGCGTAGTCAATCGATAGAAGTCGATATCGAAAATGAATCGATACACTCGATATCAATCGATATCAATCGCCGATTGCTATCGATTAATATCGGTAATCGATAACAATCGAACTCACAGAAAAAATTATCGATTTTTATCGATTGGCAAAATTGATAACAATCGATAATCGATAATTATCGATAACAGTCGATAACCCAACCCCTCCCCTGCGGGGGCCCTGAATATTACTTTAGTATACGGGTAGCCAAAATAACCAAGAGCCATAATTATGGCTCTTGAAATAACAGAAACTGTGATCGTCTACAGATTGGTCATGACGATCACTGACAGCGATTTTTAAACTTGACAGTGACATTTATTTTCTTAAAATGTCCAAGCCCAAATTTTGCGACTTCTACAGAGAATTGTATGGAAAGCTAACTTTTTTTAAAATTAAATCTGTGAAGCATCGGCGTGCCGCACAAATACTGAAGACATGGCCAGGAATAAAACAAAATAACTAATCAAGACACAATCTCCTCACATTCGATTCGTTAAACAAATCGAATTTTTTCCGCCGATTCATTGCTTTTAGAGAGGGAAACACAGAGTAAAGTTATTATAAATCACCACGAATGCTGGGAGACTGATATTTTTCTTTTCATTTTCTTGTCCTGCTTTCGATTAAAAACACTCCTCACCTTTAGCAAAAGCTGAGGAGACTTCTTCCGAATCAACTCAAAAAATCTTTTGATATATAAACGAGTATTGTTAAAACGCTGTTCCGACACTGAATCAGCATCTAAAGTTTTAGCGGCGTCGACGTTCTCGAGTGCAATATTTTGGAAAGAATTTATTGACATAATTACATTTGAAATACCACACCATCAGAAGAAATGTAGGTCACATAATACGAACTGGATATAGAGTCCATAGCAAGAACATGTTATAAAATATTAACACCGGCGGCCAAAAATATTTTTTTCCTGCAGCAGAAGGATTTTTTTGCCAAGCCCGTTGTCAAAGGTATCGACAACTGAGTCCACAGCAACTGTTTTATTCTTAAGAAAAAAGAATTTTGGAAAACTTAATCAATATTATGAGGTGAACGATAAATTTCTGACTTATTTGATTAAATTAGACTGTTTATTTTTCTCTGAGTTTTTAATTAAGTAAATTTAATTCGATATACTGTGTTATAGAAAATTTTACTGTCCTTTTTTGCAATTAACGAGACAGAGCTGATACGCTTTTTTCTGCTCCGTTGAAGTCACTGGCCTATTTTCAATTCTTCGTCTTTATCGCCACTTGGAAATTAGAAAATGAAATAAAATTTGAAATATAATATAGCTGTCCGGCAAAACAATGGGTTTCGACTTTTTCCACCAAAGGAGGTTTCAATCAACATTTTTCCTTTTTCTATACAGAGAAATGAAACCTTTTCTGTTATTTGAGTTTCTCCACATCCACATTAATTCATTTGTCAAATTTCAAAAACTAAGCTGTAGAGCTGCGGACCGCTGGCAAAGGAACACCAACCAGTTTTTGCATCGATGTTAAGTTCATCTTCGATACTGTAAGTTTAGGTTTGTCCAGCTCCCCAAATATTCTCTAAATAGCAGATGTCTCCCTCCGAGTTGTCTTCTTGCTGTTTATGCCATGTTTTTAGCTATTATTTCGCCTAGTTCCAGCTGTAGTTCTTACTCTTGAAACGGGTGAAATGTCCGCCATTTTTTTTTCACAACCAAAACAACTCAACCTCGTTCCCAGGTCTTCTCGGTTAACGTTGCCTTAACCTGTAGCGGGATGCATTTTTGACGTCATTTCCTCGTTAAACACAAAATCCTTCCAAAATTTGGTCACCGGTAACTGGTTATGGTGAATTATGCGTGTGCTTTTAGCCAATCAGAATTGGGGAAGTATTTTGAATGAATAATAATTAGCAATTATTGCACGAGGCTGAGTAAGATGTGAAGAATTATGGAGATCAAGGATACAAACGAAAGCCAAATTCAATGATTGTCAGTTTATTATTTTGTTCATAGCGAACTATTTCTAAGTTCTTGACAAGGTTAACATCCTCGAAGACTTTCTTCAAAACTTTTGCCTATTTCTCAGCACTGTTTCAAAAACAGATGTTTTTCCTTGCAGATACTCTTCCTTTCATTAATACAGACGACTATCCTAATCTACCAACCTAATTGGCAAAAATGGAACATATTGAAGGTCACCCACTCATTTGCAATCGTCTTAAAAGTGTACCTGTATTTCTGATTGACATTAAGCGTATTCCGGTTAACCTCAGCATTGTTCGACTCAATTTATCTTCCCTCCTCTTTATATTACATTTATATTAAAAATAACTCTTCTTTGATATAAATCGTTATATATGATCAATTCAATACAATTCCGGGTGCGATTGTTTTTAATTTACTTATTTATCATTATTATTATAATAATTATTATTATTTATTTATTTTCTGTATAGATAATGTCCACCAAAACTAACTTTTGCTTTTTCTGGGTAGTAAAAATATAAAATTGTAAATTCGAAATGAATGAAATGAAATGACAAGTTGAAGAAGCCCGTTTACGTATTCTTTAAGCAATCTTTTCAAATTAAGTATGGAATTATCAACAACTCAGTAAAAGACCGGCATGTCTGGAGAAAAAGGTTCTTGTATTTTGAAACAGTTTAGGCAAATGAGGCTAATTTGGTTCTCGATTAGGTTTTTAATTTCTGTTAAGTAGAGTCGTTGACTGCCAGAAAAATATCAGTACAACCTTAGTGTGGTATTCACAACTGTATTATAAAATGTTAACCAAACTGATTGCAGAATGTTCGTGTAGTGTTATCTCAAACGTGAAATTTCTCGGTTAAAATGTTTATCATAGGTTCACTGTAACCCATATATAAGAACCTCCTTGATCTCTCTTGACAAAGGGCAGTTTCTTATAAGCGAACTCATACTGTAACTGAAATTATTGGGTGGCAATAAGAAAAACAGAGACATACTTTCCCGTTTTGGAAACAGAATTTCTACATATCGTGCTCAAAATTTTAGAGATGGTTACTTTTGCTGTGAACTTTTAATATTCAGACTTGATCATAAGCATATGCTAAACTCTAAACTCTCAGTATATAGAGGTTAACAGCTAAGGATGAATAATTAATATATTATTGTTATCATTATTATTATTATTGTTGTTATTATTATTTTTTATTACTATTATTATTATTATTATTATTATTGTTATTAAACATTGTACTCGCACTGTCTGTTTTCTCATTGGCTAATTGTAAATTTTGGAAATCATAATCTGTAGGTTGCGCGTAATGCATGATTTTCAAGATCAATTTGAAAATGTCAATGTGCTGTGTTGGTCATTATTTTCTTGAAAAAATTGTATAATAAAACAATTATTATATTCTGTTTTAGTGATATCCGGAATAATCAAGGTCTCCGTAAGTGTTATCAGCCTCGGCGTTCGGCTAGGCTGATGACACTTACCTCGAATTAATTTGATTATTCCGGATATCACAAAAACCTCATCCAATACTTGTGCATTATCTGCATGTAATCCATGGGTATTTATTATTTGTTTTGTAAATGTTACACTGACCTACACAAAGGTGGGTCTGGAGACGTCATGACTGTGATATCTTGAGCTTTTGATGCTTGAAGAACTTTTACCAGATGTTCGATCGACACTAGTTTGTTTTGGAGGCGCCTTTGATGGACAGAGGCAGTAAAGAAACATCTCAAAGAGAGCTTCCTTGAATTCAGCAATTCTTAAAGGATAGATGACAACGTTGACAAAAGAATTACCAAACTGAAGTAGTTTCATAAGATGAAAAACCACAAAAGGCCAGCCTTGACACGGAGTACAAAACGAAGCAATAATGTTAATTATGTGGAATGGAAGCCAAGTTACGACAAATGACCCGGAAACTATGAGAAGTGTTTTTGTTAAACAGTCGTCTTGATGTGCTTCTCTTGCCAGGTGAAGACGAGTCTTTTGCTTCCTCCACATTAGAGAGTACGCAACGCATGTGAAAAGAAGAGGGCTTGTGAGAGAGACGATAATGATCACAACAAAAGCCAGTTTCGATATGATATAAAAATGAAGCAGGACTCGGGCTAAAATGCCAAGATGAGCTACGATCCAAGGGATACCTATAACACACGTGTAGAAACGCAACGTCAGCGTTCGATGGCGTAAAGGCCACAAAACAGCGTGCATCCTTTCCAATGAAATGCTAGCCAAGGTGAATATTGATAAAACTCCAGTGAAAATATCAACACATTGGAATGAAAGTATCAACAGACGTTTAGTCGTGCAAATTCCAATAGCAATGTACAGAGGCACAGCGAAGGCTCCGACCATAAGATCCGCAATGGCCAAGCTAATCAGTAGGAAGTGTGGGCGTTTTCGAAGTTTCTGTTTCAAAAATATCACAATGGTGATAAGGTTTCCGATGGTAATAACCACGGATGTTACGGCAAATGTCAGTGTCCAGAAAATGTTCCAGTACTCTGTGAAATCCATGACAAATCTGAATCATAAAATTTGTCAATATTGCAATTTACCTGCGAAAAAGAAACAAATCGTTCTATTTAAGTGAGTTGCAATAAAGCACTTAGTGGTCCACTTAGGGAATTCACTTATGTGACTGCACTTACGATTCGTACGTTTTCACTTAAATGTCGTTTATGCAGCAGAAATTACGCGCAATGCATAAAACTATTTTTACGGGAAAAATAGCACGTAAATTTAGGGGTCCTTCATCCTTACTGTTTTTACTTAAGTTAACCGGATTTTTTTCTGGGAAGTTTTTTCTTTACGTAATTCCGTTCTAATGCGCTTTGTTAACCTCTGATGTGTACTTTAAAGCCGTCGTTGAAAAAAAAGAAGAACAACAAACATTTCCAGTAGATGTTCAGCCTCGGATTTATTCTTGAAATATTCTTAGAAAATATATTCTTACAGAAAAAAAAAAGCATAGACGAGCTCATCACCAAGATACTCGGAAAGGAAAATCCCTCATTCGCGTCTATAGTTGGTGGAAGTAGGCCCGTTGATGGTTGTAATGGAAAGGAAGAGTACTTCAGAGAACGAGCAAGACGAAAACCGCGAAAATTGTGATTTAGTATTTTGAATATTTTATAGAAAAGAAGCAATACAAATAATAAATGTTATTGTTATTGTTAGTAAATTTTAGGGCACAAGTACATGGAGAAAGGCACATTCAGAAGATAAATGAAGAGCATTATTTGAAGAACATGGAATTAAAATGGTATTTCTTAAAAAGAAGGAACAGCTGCAACTTAAGACGAAAACTTAACAGTGATGAGTAGTTTAGAACCTGTGCGGATGTTGCTTTAAAAAATATTTTTGAGTATGTCGAAGATTCCTGGTTGAAATTTTTTTTAAGAAAAATGAGGAAACACTTCCTTTTGTTGCATGATATAAAACGTAATCTCGGTAAAAACTACCTTTCCCTATTTTATTTATCAGCATTATATGAGACACTTAATTTGATTTGTCAAAGGAGTATTTATAATTAATCATGTAATTATTACATAGTCTATGAAACTGGGTTGTGCCTAACAAAAGGACAGCCGAGGAGTACTAGGAACGAATTTCCGATTCGGGCCGACTACGGAAATTCTCGAAATCATCCAATATGGCCGGCGGCGCTAAAGTGCAGGTCACAGGCCACAGGTCAGGTCACAGGTCAGATCATAGGTCAGATCACAGGTCACACTCAAAAACAATAAGACACTGGACAGAACATGCTGCATGTCAATGACTTGCTCTAAGTTATCTTGGCTGCACGGTCTATTTGGAGATGATATTCCAACAACAAGACAACACTTCGTTCTCAGTGAAAAACATTTTTTTTTTTTTTTTCGCACAAATCACATGATTTTGGACACCTTTGTGATTTCGTTACGAAGTCTGGATATGCCGTATGATCAGCATGAAAATATCATTCCATGTGTGAAATTTAATATTGTTTAAAGGACAAAAATATCATCAAGGTTCCTTGGCAAATTTTATTTTTGCAGAGTAAAACGTCAGTCCAGAACAGTTTTGTCCAGTGTCCTATTGTTTTTGTGTGTGACTTGTGACCTGACCTGTGGCCTGTGGTCTGTAACCTGTGACCTGCACTTTGGCCCCGCCGGTATTGTTGATGAAGTTTGCGTTTATTGTGACTTTTGAAGAGTTCTTGGTCCTATATAGTGAGCAATCCTTTTATAAATGTCTTATCAATTTGTCTTGTCCCACTGGCCGGTGTTACCGGAGAAAATAGTACCGTCCAAATCGAACCGTACATTTCCTATGGACTAATTGCATGGGAACAAGCTGCCAATTCAAGTCTGAACAAAATTCTAATATTGCAAAAACGAGCGCTACGGTTAATGTACTTTTCTGACAGCAGAGCTCATGCCATACCTCTGTTCGTCAGGTCTGGTGTTTTGCCTCTGAATATGCTGTACTTTAAATATTCGGCTATCCTAATGCTCGATATCTCCAATAACCGGGCTCCTTCTAAATTTCTGAATCGTTCGTCCGTTCTAACATGATCACTCTCCTTATACCAGATTTTCTGCCGCAGGTAATTTTTATGTCAAGAGATCTAGACTCAACCAGCTATTATTATCTTTTTCTAGAAGTGGTGTCAGAATTTGGAACAAAATTCTTCTTACGTTACGTGAACAGCGCAAAGACCCTTTCGAGCGTAAATTACTCATAAATTTCTGATCAAGGATTTGGAGACTAAGAAGGTGTATGTTGATATGAGTACCATTACCAGCTCCTGCCTGAACTCGTTATTCAGTTAAAGTGTTTTCCTTCCTTATATCTATAAGTGCTACCTTTTATTTATTTATTTCATTTTTGCTCTCTCTTTACTTACCGTTCTTTTGCTGACTTTATAGGACACAATTATTGCATTGAATAGCTCCGCTAATTGTGGGTAACATAGTCTAGTATCATAGTTTGATAAATGAATAAACTGTTGTTGTTGTCCTTTTGAATGGCATTAAGCTAACAAAATAGTACCACCCAGAAGGTTATCTGACATTACAGCAGCATTTGTTTGCATGTACAAAACATTTAGCAGGCTTGCAGCTAGCAAGAGACACAGCAAGGCGCTTATCTCACCTACATACTTTTTAACCCAAAATTTAAAAATGCGTTTGAATGGGAAACAATGAAAAACTGCTGAAAATCCGTGTTTCAAGGAAATAGCTACCCTTTTCAGGGGCTCACACCTTTGGAAATTGCAGATCTGGCCCCGCCTAATTTAAAAGTCTGGTTACCACACTTTTGCTTGCTACTGTTTAATTTTTTGTACCATAGGCCTAGCTTACCAATTGCTTCCTCACAATGAGCAATATTGGTGCTCAGTGGTCTTATCCCTTTGGGCAGAGTTATCTAAGTAGATAGGACTCAGGTAGTAGGGATTTTAAGATACGGAGACTACGGACTACGAACTACGGCTGGACGAGAGTTGTCCTTTGTTCGTAGCACTAGGTTGAGTCGTGCAAATATAGAACGTTAAGATTACACTACAGACAGTAGACTACGAGAGAAGAGGCGAGAGGGAAACAACACGCAAAGATTTTCTTGTTTTTATCACAGTTCACAAAAATGCAAGTCAGTTTTGCATGTGATCTTATCTTTAGAACAATGAACAAATTGTTCCATATACTTGAAGGAAGCAATGACGTCGGGTGAAATTGGTAAACAAAGTTTTGGTTACACAGGTTTTATTTTTTTTGCCCATGAATTCTTATGTCAAATATTAAAGAAATAGACAGAAATAGGAATAGCTCATTTATTAGATTTAGAAGATGGACTTCTCCGACTACTGATCTGATTTAGTTTGAAGTATTGAAATGCCGAGTTTCGATTGTCTCGA